TCGAAGGCACAAAATTTTCTCGTCCGCTCAAGTAATATCATTTAACTCGTTTCAATAGTTGTTTAGTTTTTGTCTTTATTTTAATTTTTAATTTTTTTCTATTTATAATCAGCAATGCGTCACTATGACATGGCCAAGCAGAATTGACCACTTTTCATAATTGCTAGATTTGAATATTAAGTGGTCGGCAGTCCAGATGACGAAGGTGACTGATATTTAAATCGCCAGATAGTTTCGAATTTTCTTGGTTTAAATGAGCATTTGGAATTATATGATAAAATCTCAGTGAAAAGCGAAACATGTCAATCACATTATTATTAATTTATTATGAAATTAATTTTATTTTTTCTTTTTTAATATAAATAATACTGTTTGTCTTTTTTTTAAAGTTTTATATATATATATATATATATGTATGTATATAACAAGGGATGTGATATCCATACATTTCATTTTATTTTTCACACATCTCTTGATAATTTCTATCCGTTGATATTTTTCAATTCATCCAATCAGACGATCGAAAATAAAAAAGATGTATAAGAAGTAAAATGAGGTGTATAGATATCACATCTCCATAACAAAATGTTATTGGCGTTTCAAAACAAGTTGCATGCATTTCTTTATGTGCCTAATAAAATTCTCGTGTTCTTATAAAATGGAGAGGGCCGAATCCCTTTCACCAAATCTTCCCTCTCAAGCAATTTAGGTTCTTCAAATTTGACAAAACAGCTAAAGTTATTATAACTTTTAAAGTGAGCTCATGTTTATAGCTGTTGGATTAAATTTCAAATGTCCGGATTAGTTGATGAGGAGGATTTGGTGGAAGGGATTCGGTGAGGATCCATTTCCTTATAAAATGAATGTTTGATCATTTTTGTTTGGGTGTTAATATATTGTAGCAATGGTCCCTCAACTAAAAATCTATTACCATTGATTCCTCATCTCATCAAAATGTGTAGATATGGTTCTTTTCGTCAACTTCGTCAGAATTTTGTTAGAATAAGAATAAGTTATGTTAGAATGACTATTGCTACAACGATGTATATCACTCGATAGTATAATTTTAATACAAAATTTAACAGTTACCTACCAAAATTCATTAATTGGTTATAAATAAGATTTAAATACTAATTTTTTGAAGGATTTTTATCACAAATGGTCTATGAGATTGACCAAACTCATCATTTTAGTCCCTCACCTTCAAAATCAATCAATGTCGTACCTGACATTCACTACCTTACATCAATTTGGTCATTTTGTTAAGATTCCGTCAACTATTTTGTTAGTTTGTATGTAGGATCCACAAATCCAATCAAATTGTGACACGTGGATTACACAAGATAAGGGTTTTTATCGCCAATGATCCCTGACATTAATCCAACTCCTCATTTTGGTCCCTAAGTTTCAAAAATCGATAAATTTGGTTCCTGACATTCACTACCGCGCATCAATTTATTCTCTCCGTTAATATGGTCCCACTAATCCAATTATATAGCTCAACATGGATTAACTATAAGAAACTATTTCTTCAAGAGTGAACCAAAACAAGAGTATTCCACGTTGACATTTTTCTCGCATCCCACAACCCCAATTGGAAAAAAATTCAATCTAAATTCGATAAAATCAAATCCAAATTCAATTCAAATTTGTTAGGATTTAGGATTATAACCAACTAGAAAGAAAGAGGAGTGAGTTCAGGAGGCCAAGTACTTTAGTGGTGTCATGGTGCTTTTCTTTTCCTTTTGAGCATACCCTGATGAAGACGACGATGACTTTTTTTTCCTTTAGTTTTGGTTTTTAGTATCTTATTTTACTTTTAGTTTTAAATCTTAAAAAAAAAATAGTTTCTTATAGTTAATCCATGTGATGACATATGATTTGATTAGTGGAAGAAAAAATATTGACGAAACTTTAACATAATGATTAAATTGATGTGCGGTATTGAAAGTCAAAGACCAGATTTATCGATTTTTGAAACCGAAGGACCAAAATGAGGAGTTGGATCAATGTCAGGGACCATTTGCGATAAAAACTTTTATTTTGTGTAATGTACGTGTCATAATTTCATTGGATTTGTGAGTCCCACATACAAATTAACAGAATAGTTGACGGAATCTTAACAGAATGACCAAATTGATGTGCGGTAGTAAATGTCAGGGATGACATTGATTGATTTTGAAAATAAAGAACCAAAATGATGAGTTTGATCAATCTTAAAAACCATTTGTGATTAAAAAAAAATTTGGAATTACTCAATGTTACGTACTATTTGATAATTGTTTATCTAAGGCTGGTGGTTTCGCAATATCCTTTTCTTGTACACCTGCTCACTGACTCTGTGTAAAGACTTTGAGACGTGTCATGTGTGGGTCGCTGGCATCATCAAAGATTGCTTTTGAGAAAAAGCTCAAAAGCAGGAAAAGCACTTTGCTTTATCTACTACTAGCCAGAGGCCCGGCGTGCTGGAAGTAGTAGCTACATTTCTTCTTTCTTTTTTATATATATATTTTTAGATAGATAATTACTGGCAAGTTATGAATATATATATTTTTTGGATTTGAAGAATTTATGAAAAATTTTACTTTATTTATTGTCACGATCAAACAAATTTATTAATTTTGAAAATTAAATTTAAGATCTCTCATATTTTTTTTTTTTTTTTTATCAAGAAGCCGCACCTAGCTTCATAAAGATAAATCCTATTCGTACCTACCTTTCACCTTGCGTGTGAATCTTGAATGTTAACTGCCTGTCTAAAACCACAATGATAGTCCTTTTTATTATATAATATTGTGAAAATATATTAAACCTTTTAGTTTGTAGTTCTTTGGCGTTTATATTCAAGAGACAATAAAAATGAAAATGGGGTTCACTACACATGCATTTTTTGAGGTTTCTTGAGTTTTCAGAAAGTCTATTCATGTTTTAAAAGTAATACAAACATTCTTTTTGACGTTTCAAAATCATTCAGCAACTCCCTCTTATGACCATAAAAAAGAAAAAAAGACCTGCGCGAAAGAAATGGTGAAAATACCAAAAAAACCTTTATGGTAGGAAAAAGAGTGTTTGGCTACAAGTTTTGGTTAGCCCTATGCCTTTCAATTCACCCATCTTCTATGCTGGAGTCTATCGAATTTGAAAGAAAAGATGGGTGGACTGGGTCTTTGGTTACAAGTGGGATGTCCTATTTCCAGTAGGGATCGCTATCTGGTTACTTTTGTCACATTAAAATTATATATCTCTAATGTCAACATAAAATTACCGAAACCCTAGAAGGGGGAGGGGAGAGGGAGGGGTAAATGATTTTGAAACATCAAAGGATGTTTTTGTTACTTTCGCAAACTAAGAGATTTTTGTGAAAACTCAAAAATTCCAAAAAAGTGTTGTGTAATTAAATTAACCAGATAAACGTATGAATGTACACAACTACTAAAACTTTTCAGAGAAAAGAAAAAAAAAAACTTAATTTGTAAAGACACAACAAAAGCCCCAAGAAACTTCCACTAATAGCCTTTAATAAACCCTTTTTTAAGCTCCTCTTCAATTCTCTTAATAATGCATTTTTGTTGCGATCATATTTAGAATAGGAATGTGATTGTATAAATTCTAGTGTATCTAGGAATATCTTAGAATATTCTCCTTAGTAGATATTATCCTATTATAGTTGTAATTCTATTAGAGTAAGAATTTAACATATCATACTACTATAAATAAAGGCACAATAGAGTGATACAATACACACATCACAATTAAATCTCTTCTTCTCTCTCTTGTTGTCGCCGTCCTCTCTCCTTCTTTAGTCTTAAATACAGTTCAATCAAATAATCCTACAACTCTTTTGAATTTATCTCATCTCCTTCCTAAGATAAATTCCACGTATCTTTCACCTTGCTTAAACTTATGATAGTATACAATTGATTAATTTTAAAACTTTCTCCGACACAGCTTAAATATGTATAAACCCGTAGAAACTCGAAAAATACCTTTCCACTAATCACTTTAATAAAACATATTTTTAATCCACTTTTTAATTCTCATAATAATGTCTAGTTAGTGAGGAGACAACCGTCCCTGCAAAAGGTTGGCATCTCATCTCCTTCCAAGTAGTGAGGGAGAGATAAAGAACCCATGCATCACATGGGAATTAATCAAATACACAAAGTAAAAAACATGCATTAGAGAACAAATTAGCCTAGTTCTATCTGCACACATATTTTTACATTTCATATACATTCTGTTAATTTATGTCTTTTAATCATTTTTAATATATTTGATTCAACGACTGAAAATTAAGATAAATGTATGAAAAATATAAATAAGTGTTTGAATAACAGAGTCCACAGATTAAAGCAAAGGTTAATAATGGAGGTGATGAATCAGTAGGAACTAGTGGCTGTAATGCATTGGGGGGGGCGGCCTAGATAAAGTCAAGTATATAATTGATTCCCAATTGAAATTAGCTTTCGTTTGCTTTGGTGAATAATGCTTTGAGACTGACTTGATGATTTTAATCCTCAAGTATTAATTATTAAATAAAAAGATTAATCTAGCTAATCAGCTAGTCCCACATCTAATTGCTATCCGACAAGATTGAGAAATTTCCTACTAATAAATTGTCAATTTACATCACGTAAGTGTTCTTTCGGTTGTTTGTTTCCCATCTCAGATCTGATAGAATACAATTATTAGCATGCACTCTAGAGACTAGAGTGATTAGTCATCTAAGCATGATCAGCTATTACATCATGGAAGTCTTTATCAAGGACGGTATTAGGCGTCCAAAACTGTGCTTACACGTCGAGCAACTTAGGCGATCAAAATTTTTTATATTAGTAACACTACGTGAAAATGACGGTCATACAAAAAAAACTTTTCAAGATGATTAGCTGCACTTGTTAAGTTCATATTTTTGAACGTTACCAGCTCAGTTAGGATTCTAGACGAGATGTGTAGAAGGTGAATGCAATTAGGGGTTATAGATGAATGAGAAAAGTAGGAGTCTGAAGAGCACTAACATAGAGACAATAAATCAACAAACTGGGGAGGTCAACACTCTTAACACTCTGTATGTATATACTAACCATACAAGAAACCTAAATAAATCAATACATTATACAAGCAAGAAGAGAAGAAAAGGATGTGAGGGCTGCTCTGATATTACAAAATCAGTATCTGGCATGGGAGAACCTGCCGCACTTTGGTATGATTATACGTCAAGGCGCTGCGCGCGGCATATCAGCCTTGTCCGTTGTTCAATCCATCATACGGCTTGGTGGACTTACTTGACTTTCTCTTCAAGACCACAATCCAAGTGATTGCTTCCAATAACAATGCAAGTGCACCCAACGCAATAATCACAATTATGTAAGTAGATCTCCAATGCTTAGCAGGATTTAGTATGTCTAAGCCCTTAAACACATTTATAATGCCGAGGACAAGAATCGTGTATCCAAGAGCGTGGTGGTAGATGTTCCAGTAGAACCTGAACTTGTGCTCCTTCTTCGGCCTCAAGAACAATGCGAATATCTGTAAGTCCAGAGAAGGAAATTCCAATTAGACGAAAACAGTCCAAAATTAAGTACCACAAACAAATTAATCAGCCTTGTTTCAACAAAATGCTGCCTTCAGCAGCTGTGAACACGGACTAATCTATGCGAAATTGAGTTAAGATTGCATCAGAAAACAGAGATGTTCTAAATCCAAATCTTCATAGTAGTTTACATACATAACATGGATTCATGGAAGGTAGGGGAATGCATAAAATTGAAAAATGCCAGTTACCCCTTATCACTTAGCACTTAAACGGCATTATAAATTTGTAAACTAAGTTGTATGAACCACATTAAGTTCGTGTAGGTAAAATTAGAATGGAATTTGCAGACATAGGCGCAACCTCATTGGCAAGAGTGGATGTACTCCCCTACATATCAGAGTTCCGATCCCCTTCTCGCAGTTTATATTAGTTTAGAGTACCATATCGCTTGTATCAGGAGAAAACAAAGAATGGAGTTTACCTGCAGAGTTGCTAAGGCAAACAGGGCAATTCCAATGTTGCGATGATTAGTGTAAACCACCCCTTTGGACTCACTTCCGAGCTTAATTCCGGTAGCCCAGCCGGCGACACCAATGGCATAACCAGATACCTGGCAGAATATATGAAGATAAAACCAAGCTGGATCCGCAGACGGAAAAGCCCTCAAATATCTTGCTATGATGATTCCAATTGGGAACATCAATCCCCAACTCACAGCATTCAAAATTCCATGTATCTGAATCACACAAAAACACAAAAAAGGATTTAACTTTATCAACTTTGATCAAAACCCATCTCAAATCTAGCTCAGATTTCTACAACTTGCCAAAATTAAAGCCAAATCTTCATTAGAGCACAATTTCCCTTTACTCAAAGTTTCAAGCTTTATGCTCTCCAAATAAAGCAACTTTCTTTTCCTTCTAAAAATTTACTACTTATTTTTACCATTTGAGATTCAAATGGTTAAAAGAGTTTACTCTAGGCGTGAGCAATTAACAACGTTTATGAATATATAGGAGTGGTTAAGAGTGTTTATCCTGCAAGTAAAATCCCCAGTCTAAATCCTCTTCTTATTATAGGTTGTATAAAAATAGTAACAAAAGAATCCCAAGACATTAAAATGGAAATTTAGAGAGACTCAACTCACATTTCTCTTCTTCATCTTGGACCCCCCGCTAACGGTGGTGGTGGTGGTGCCGCCGGTCAAGCTCAGTGTCCCTTTCGAGTTAAGATTCGGCGTCAGGAAGTCGTGTTTAACCGGAAACCCATCGGAAACAGAGGGCCCCACCTGCCAAACCTGGTTCACCGTCTCCTTCTCCACCTTCAACTTCGCAAACAGCCTAAAAACGCCGCCGGACGACTCGGCCGCAGTGTCCCACACTTCGAACGACAGCTTCGACTCGACAATATCCTTGTACGAGCTGATGTTGAAGGTTTTAACGGCCATGGAGCCGCCGGACTTCTGGTAGGCGAGGAGGGTCTGGGACCCAGCCATCCCGGTGGACGTCGGGTTGATGGCCCAGGCGATCCAGCCATCGGTTTTGGAGGGTGGCGAGATGAAGGCGATGGAGAGAGTGGAGTTGGCGGGGTCGTAGGTCCAGTGGAGGAAGGAGCCGAGGACGGGGAGGTCGGCGCATTTCGAGTAGAGCTTGTTGTTGGTGAAGGTTTGGGAGGTGCAGGTGAGGGAAAGCGCGGGTGAGATAAGACAAAGGAGGGTGAGCGGTAGAAATATTGAGAGAGAAGAGGAGGAGGAAGAAGAAGCCATGGATGAGTAAACCGCTAATGGTGGTTGATGAACAAAGGCTGACTACTAATTTTGGCGGAATTTATAGTTACAGTTAAGACAGTGAGAAATCCTCTATGAGGCTTTCGTAAAAATGAAAACAACCACTTGAAAGTCGACACGTGGGCAAAACTGAATAAATAGTTATTTAGAAAATTGGCCAAAATAATGGTATTTCAAATTTCAATACCCTAGCTGAAATGATCAATTTTTCAATATGTTGTATATATATGATTATTATATCATCACCCTTTATTCTCTATGCCGTCGATATTTAAATTTGGTTAGTCCAACAATTTATAATTTGATTTTGAATCGTTTTAGCTAAATTTATTTATTATTTATTTGGATTTTCACCTTTTTTCTTGGATTTAGTTCATGTATTTTCATTTAGCATCGTCAGTCTAATATGGTAAAATTTTGGCCACGTTGGCTTTTCGAATGAGAGCGTAATGAATAGGAAAATCAACTTAGCAGAATAGAGTAGCTCAAGTAAAGACATGACGAAATTATATGGACGAAATCGAAATTCAAACAAATTTATCAGGATTATTAGTGAAATTTAACAAAAAATAAATAAGAAACATGCGTGCGATGCTTGAAAGTTGAAACAGAACTAATGTCCTTAAAAAAATGGAGAGGGGAATGAGAGAGCCAAATAACAATTAACGTAAACTTGTATGAACCTAATTAATTAAATAAAGATCCAAGAATCCTGCTTTTCTTCTTCTCTTCCGTCTGTTTTTGTTTTAAATTGCTGAAATCAATGGATTCTGTTTTAGACGTTGCTTAAATTCAGTAAGAGAAATGTTAATGATATTCTCTCAAAAGTAAGACCTTTTATGAACTCTTTGTCACCTTATATTTTTGACACAATATTTTATAATGTTGATACGAAAATTATGTCAAAAAGGTAAGATAGTGCAAAGTTTATAAAATCCTACTTTAAAAAAGCCTCTTTAGAATAAACCCAAAAATGAAGATAACCAACTTTATGGAGTAAAGGAGAATGGATTGTAGCGTCAAGCAACTGCATCGTTCAATGCATTTTTGAACATTTTGTTTTATTATTAGAAAATAATCTGGTCGATTTAATTGGGAATTTTGGGATTATATGCCAACTACTTTAGCGATTTGTAGCCTACCAGATGTGACTGTGAGCTGATGCAAGGTTTAGGTCATGGTGATATCAATATTCCTCTATATCGTACATATTTTTAGGAAAATCCAAGTTGTATATAAGAAAATAAGATTGTGATATTTCTTTTTCTTTTTCCCATACAAATTGTTCTACGAGTTGTGGTAAATAACAAATTAAAATTATTTGGCTAGTAGATCGAGGGCATCAGGAACGTAGATGTTTTTTCTTTCGAAGGTAAGAAAATTCGCTTCGAAGTGGACTTCTCAGAGACATTTTGGGCCGTAGCTCACAGGGGGCATAGATTTTCAGAGTTGCACAATTTCTGGCAAAGCTTTACCCCTAATGGTCAAGCACAATTTCATTGCCTTTGGCGCCATTGTGTGGAAGAGATGCACAAACTTAAATAACTATAAAAGAATAAACGATCCTGAGACCACCTTTACTGTTGGGGCATCTGTCCAAGATTGTCTAACCGTCAAGTTAGTAAGTAATTTATGAGACTCAAACAGTACACAAGAAAATAGAGTATGCGATAATTGCGTTAACCCTAGAAAGGTGTATTAATGCTAGTCGAGAGAGTCTTTTTATGATATAAAATCCGCATTAAACCGAGAGAATGCTAAAGGATATCTAGGAGTAAATATTGCATCCTCTTAAAAATGAGAAATTTTTAGTTGTGACGGGAACACAAGTGGTACATCACGTGTTTAAATAGGAGTGGTGGGAAATTTTATTTTTTAAGTTATTAACTTTTTAGCACAAATATCTCATCATTTATATAATGACACGTGGTGTACTATCTTATGTATCGGTTATACTGAAAAATCTCTCCTTAAAATTATGATTACTTACTGTGCACACCAACCCTTGACAACAAAAAATTAAGCAATTGAACGGTTTCAATTTACTAGACACCAAATTGTCCAAGTCCAACGACCTACAAAAACGATAACTCTATAGCTACAAAAAAAACCAGTAGACAAAGAAATGAAGAAAGACGAAGAACCTTGATGCCCGCAAGGTTGTTCCCGTGATTCGATGATCTAGGCTTCATAATAATCTAAAAGATAATTTTTAATTCTTTGTAGGGTTTTTAAACCTCGTGCAAAATGCAAAGATATTATATATTAGAGGTTGGAATCCCGAAAATTAAATAAATAAAAAAATAATGAAAAGTGTTTGAAAAATTTGACTTTTAATGATAAAGATAAAATAAATGGTAAAGTAAATAATACCATATTTGACTTTGTAGTGTAAAAATATGATTTTTCGTTAAAATGAACAGTACCGCATACTTTTCGTTAAAATTTCTTAAATAAAAACTAAAAACTACCGATTAAAGCACATTAGGAAAGGGAAAGAAGAGAGCCACTTGAGGACTAGGATGGGCACGGCCCGCACTGAAATTTATTTATAGTGGTTCACATATAACCAGATGGAGAGTACCAATTGGTAACTTGATCTTCCAATGATTATCACCGACCCTCTAACAATTGCAGTCTTGATGTCCCAAATGGAAGAAATTTTTTATTGTAATTGAAACACGGATGATACATCACGGGTTTTTATGTAATTGGTGAGAAATTTTATTTTTTAAGTTCTTAATTTTTTAACACATATATACCACAATTTATAGAATGACACGTAATATATCATCTCGTGTTTCGATCACATTGAAAAATCTCTTCCGGAGTGCCGTGCATCTTTCTTTCTCCCGTCGTTATTCTGTTTAAAAAATCTTGTTTGATTTGGCCTGTAGTTGTTGTTACTTATAGTATTTATTGGACTCATGAAGTTCGATATCCCAAATGGAACTCTCAGTTTAGCCAAGTAATATGAATGAACCAAATCACTCAAAGACTAGTCACTTCCACAATTTTGTTTAAACATGTTGGGCATCAATCTTCCCTCCCTTCTCTGTATATTCTTCTAATTTTCATTCATCAGTAATTTTTAGGCTCATGAATCCAGAACTAAAATAGATATATATTATTCCAATGAGCAATAACAAAATTCAAAACATTTTCCTCTCGCTTCTAAGACCCACTACTAAGAGAGGGAAGATTAAGTTTACTTATTAGATTAGGTTTACTTTTTTTCATTATGTTGCCATTTTGTTGTCAATAAATGCCTACCGAGAAGAAGAAAGCATTGAAATTGATTGAGTTAAATTGAAGTTATTATAAATTGTGAGAACGTAAAGAATTCTTCATTTTACTCCACGATTTTTATTTTTAAAAGAAAACTAATGAAAAATGTTTGAAAAGTTTTAGTTTTAATAAAAAATCATGTTATAAGTTTTGTTTAATGATTAGTATAAGGCCCATATTAAAGCAGTCCAACTAAAAATGGTCCAACTATAATATATTATGATTTATCGATTTTACCCCTAACTTTTTTAGGCTGAGTTCTAGATTTTCGTCGTTAATGGAGTTCATCGTTGTTTTGCAGACCTTCTTCTTTTTCTTTGAAACAAAAATATAGATCATCATGCTATTTAATTTATATTTTGTATTATTTCGTTGAAATGTGATCGTCGTTATTATTTATAGTGTATTCGATGTACTGTTTTTCAATTTTTCTTTGTCAGTGGAGTTCATCGTTTGTTTCTCCAGAAAATAAATTTGAGATCTGCATGCTATTCAATAATAATGACGGGTCACTGTTTCTGGACTATAAAAATAAACTGTTTCTAGAATCTAAGTCACTGTTTCTGGATTTAAATGAAATAGACACACTGCTTCTTAAATGTAAGCTAGAAAAGAAATAGTGAAATTCACTGTATCTGGATTCAAAGGAAAATAAGCACTATGTTTCTTAAATATAATCAACTGATGCATGAAAGAAAAGAAACAGTCAAAGGTTAAAACATAGACTGTTTCTGGAATTTAAATCACTGTTTCTGGTTTTTTTTTTTTTTTTTTTTTCCAGATACAGTGTTTGTTTGTGCACAGACAAAACAAACACCCTATCTGATTTTTTTTTCTTCAGAAACAATGTTATGTTTTAGGTTTTCCAGAAACAGTTTTATGTTTTGGTTTTTTCGATACATTTTATAGAAAGAAAAATGATGACACTAAGACCCAAATGTATAATGGCTTGAATTCTAAATTAAATTGACATGTATAAAATAATGTAAATTTGTTGTTCACTTAAAGTCTACATTTTGAGAACCTGTGAGGTCCTCAAAATAAAGGCCTTCAAATTAATCTAATGGTAGATTAACTTATAAACTTAAAACATTATGATTCGGATTTCGCACCGTCATTGGAAAATTTGAATTCTCTTTCAAGCTTCTCTAAAAGGACTTTGCTATATATGGCCACAAAATTCTAGGGTTTCGGTATACAATTCAAATCAAATGAATAGATTGAGTACAGATGCCTTTATATGGTTTGTTCTGCGTAAAGGTTCTTGGTGGTCAAATTAAGGTTTCTTTTGTGGCTGGAAAAAAACTCAAAGAGAGAGAGAGATGGAGGGAGGAAGCATGTGCGGCGATGAAGATTCTAGGATTTTGATTTTGCGACGCAAAAAGTTTATCACCCATGGAAGAAGCTCTGCCGTTGGAAGTTATTCACGCTTGAACTTCTCAGTTTCTGCCGTTGGAAGGATTTTGGTTCAGACGCTTGACTTCTTTCTTTTCGTTTTGGATGATTTTTTTATTAAACTTTGAACCCTTTTGGTTAAATAATATTTTGAAATGGTTTTTGGTCAAATATTTCTTGGTCCAAGCCCTTTGTATTGAAATTCAAAAAACTAGGAGATTAATCAAAAGGGTATGGAATTCATCTTCGGTTTGGTAGGCGATGGCTTTGCCGTCATGGCAACAGACACGTTGCCCGTGCATAGCATACAGAATCATGGTGCTCTCCCACAAGCTCAT